CTAGGAGTGGGAGAAAGATAGAGAGAGGGATTGCGATGCGCGCCAAAACTTATTCGTTAGAGCTTTAAGGGATATTATTCTGCTTTTCGTCATCAAGAGTAAGTACTAAACATTATCAACTTTTGCATCGCATGCTTATTTGCTTTTGTAAATGAAACTTGAATGATTATGCATGATATACGAATAGTTCTTTTTAATTTTTATTTGAAATACATTATGATTAATATAAAACGATGCAGTATTTGATTTATATATAACATTAATAATGCATAATGAATTGATTGTATGTTATATATGATATTAATATTAATAGCAATTACGATGAAGCTATTTGAAATCGATATTGCATTGTGTTTCATAGTATGTACATATTACGGATGATAATTTTGATATTTCATGATTTAGAAAATAGCAAGTAATTGTTAATTAATTAATAAGCAATACTTCATTTTTTGCTCGATTTAAAGCAACTTTTTATTTACACTCTTTATACACGATACTTCATTTATTTATTCAGATTTTATTTTTTCGCTTATTATTTATTTCATCCTTATTGTTACGCTTGTATAATAATCTCTTTTTTTTTTTAAAATCTTTATTCATTTTTCTTATATCACATTTTGAACGAATTTCCTTCTTTTCAATTGTATTAATTTTAATTATCTTTAGCCTCTACTTCCATATCAGAATAAAATAACTTTTCTTTTCCTCACTCAAATTAGTCAAAACTTTTTTATTTTCTACTCCTCAAATACCTCTCTGTACTTTCGTGGAAATTTCAACCACTTAACAGATGATGTTTCTCTCATCGCAAATAATCTTTTCTCGTTAAAAATTTTAATTGCATTAAAGATAGGAGGCCAATGAAAAAATATTGGGTTCGTTTTTTCTATTCGATAGATTATATTTCAACATTTTTGAGAATAAAGTATTCTCATCCTCATTTTCATCGATCTTTTATATTAATCCTCTTAGGAAAAGGGGGAAAAAAAAAAGACATTGAAAAATGTTATCCTTTTGCGTCGATAATCCCTCGTCGAATTCGTGAACTGACATCGTTGACAGAATTACAGAATCTGATATAAAGTTGAAAAACGATATTCATCTCTGGATAAATGTAACTACTATAATGTAAACGATGTAACCACTAACCCGGGCTATGGAAAAATTTCTTTCACCATCAAACAATGGTAAATTTCGATCTTTCTCGACGAATTTTAGAATTATCGCGATTCGATACTCCGGTGAAAATACGAGGAATTACGAACAGGGTGAAATACTGCCGATGAAATACACCCCGTAACCTTCAGATAAAAAAGGATTACATTAGGGAAACGCCGCGGGTCGAATCGAACTTGGCTGTTACGCGAGATTTTATCTGAAACTTTTTTACTTTCCTTCTGAAACTCTTTTTCTTTCTATAAATACAAGGACGGGAAAAATAGGACGTGGAAATTCATTTTTAGAATGAAAAATACGAACTGATGAAAAAATTCTTCTAATAAAATTTTATTATAGAAATAATTTCAATTAAAAATAATGGATCCTCGTGTGATTCAATCATTCATCAGGTTGAATTTTAAAAAACGATTTCACTTGGTGATCGTTTTTTTTTCTTTTTTTCTTTTTCTTGTTCTTTCTTTTTTAAATATGCATGGCATACTTGTTAACAAATTTTTCTCAAGCGAAGAATCTTCACTTTCTATTTAACCGTGCTATTTACCGATCTTTCTTTTCCTTCCAAATATTTCATCGTTTTTTTTTAACATTTTTTTCAAAATGTCGACTTTTTTGTTGAAATGAAAAGAACACAAAAATATTGATGCACGATGTTGATACAAAAATTTATTTTTCATTCGACTTTATATTAAATATCATTCCATATTAATATATTGTTTTTAAACGATTATGAAAAAAATACATCGTTGAATAATTATAAATGATCCATCGATCTCGAATTTCTTGAAAATAACAAACGAAAGATTTCGCATTCGAGCTTTATTAAACGTGAAAATAAATTCCTAAAATAAATAATAAATGCGTTTTGATTGTAATACAACTCATTATTCGCATCAATAATTTTTCATCTTTTCATCGATAATTAATATCGTATATATGTGTTTTATATATAAGTTGCAAAATGGTATGGTAAAAGTTTCTGCCTCTATCTTTTTTCTTTTTTTTTTTAGGAAACAACCTTAAATCCTCGAAATTGTTTTTTACCGTTTCAACATGGGATAAATATTTAATCAAAGAATTTTAACTGGTGCAATAAAACGAAACAGCAACTGGAAGAATAATTGTAATATTATTTTTGAATATATTAATTCCAATATGATACATTTTTGTATCGCTTATATTAAAATTTTACTACGAATTAAATATACTTTTAAAATTTAAAAAGATATATATATATATATTTTTTCAAATCTCTTAAATAATATAAAAATTGTGTAAGCATTCAGAAACTTTATATTTTATTATAAAAGAGGAAATTTTTATCTGTTATTTGAACAGTTTTAAAATATTTCGAATAAAAATCATGATGAATAAATAAATAAAACGAAAACGAGATATAATATATACTGTATGTATAAAAATTAATACATATTTTTATATGACAAACAACGATCCACAGATTTAAAGTGAACTAAAATTTTTTTTCATATTCCATATTCTGTTAATCGAATTCGGGAACGCGTTCAATTTATAAATTGGAAAATTATATTGCACAAGAAGGATGCATTTTCCCGTGGATCGTGTTTATTTTTAAAAATACATGACACGCAAAAGTGCGTGCGTCTGCGAACACCATCACCACCAATTTTTCGAGTTCCACGGGAACGTTAAACAAACGGAATCGAATCTCGATATAGCCGAATGAAAAAGGATCATTCTAATCCATCCACCGTGGAATTATCGTGCTCGTTTTCCGTCAAACTTGAAAACTTTCGTAGTTAATCTGAAACGAAACACGAACGTCCATCCCGCGCCTCGGTGTAATTGAAACTGTCCAAACTTCTGTGAGACAAGTTTCAAAGATTTCTTTCCTTCTCTTTCTTTCTTTTTTTTTTTTTTTTTTTTTTTTTTTTTTTATTTCAAGATTGAAAGTTCAAGCAGAAATACTCGAAAAAAAAAGAGAAAAAAACGGGGAATCGAAACATGTTTTTTTATTTAAATGTATTAATTTATGGGTGGTTTCGATTCATTTTTATGGAAAAAATAATGGAACACGCTAAAAGAAAAATTATAATGAAAAATTTCACGGGGAAATTAAGTGAAATTTAATCTTTTCGTGTTAAGCTTCTAAGAAAAAATTTATCTTGCTCCTTCACTTGAATCACTTCTCAACATGATCACTATTATCCTCCTAAATTTTCTTTCGCGCAGAAAATTAGAGTGATCCTATTTTTTTCATAAAAAAAAGCAGAAGCTTCATAATAAGGGAATATTTTTTTAATCGGAAAAAAAATTTCTCCTTTTTTCCGTACTAATAAATTTTTCTTCTGAAAGCGTGGAATTGTTCTGCAATTAAAAAAAAGGAGAAGAAAAAGCTGTAATCCATAAACTCTTTTTACCAGATGAATTGTATAATTTTTTGCATCCCTGTCTTATTTACAGCCCATAAATTCCATTCCATCCTTATTTCTTTTTTTTTTTTTTTTTTTTCGTTCGTAGCATATTTTTCTTTCTTACCCTCGAAATCCTCGCGAGGGATGAATTCAGTTCAGTTCAAACAGAATCGATTTCACCACTTCCAATTTAGACTTTCGAATCCGCAAATTTTCAAATATGCCAACCTCTGCACAGTTTTATTTGAACTTGGTCGAGATTTAAGGGAGCTAAAATTCGGAGCAAGCTTAATTAACTCGGTAAATTAAAAAAGAATTCGGTTTCATAATTCAAGCGAAACGGAAGAATTTCAAGATTTCAAGATTATTATATACTGTTTATCTTTCATCAAAATCAAAGTTTCAACTTCAAACATAGATCTTTTCATCTTTTTTAGAAGCTCGACAACTCGAGCTTTGAAACGATTAAAGTACAAAAAATATTCTAAAAAAGAAAAAAAAAAAAAAAAGTGATCACTTGCGATATACAAGATTTATTAAATTATTACAGCTATAATTATATGAGAATACACAATTTTTACATGTACATTATAATATATTACGTATCTCGCTATTTACTCTCTTCTCCCATCTCCTCATCTCTTTCCTCTTGTTTTCATCTTTATACACACTTTTTCGACACTTTTCCCTCTCGCGTTTCATTTCTGAATATATAAAACGAATATATCATCAGGGAAATTTAGCGAGCGAATAACGCTCGTCTTTGATGAATAAGTTAAACGCAATTTACACGTATCCGCGGCACTGTAATCCGTGCCATGTATCTCATGAAGGTTTGCAACCTTGATTTTCAATCATTACACGCACAAAATAGAATACTGCGATTACACATACACTTTTTTAATTAATCGATAAACGTGGACGATTCTTTTTTGTTTCTTTTTTTTAATTATTATTATTGTTATCATTAATATTAATATTAATATTATTATTATTGTTATTATTGTTATTATTATTATTAATTCCTCTTACTTTAAATTGTTTCTAACTTAGCTAACTATATTATGCCCTGCGTAATTCTATAATCGTTACACGTCACTCTCCGCGATATACTCAATGTACAATTTTTATCTCTTTCTTTCGTGTCTTAACATCGACAGGGTTATCGATGATCTGATATAACAACATACAAGATTCATTTGAGAGTAAAATTTGTAAGAAATTACTCTCGAGAAACGGACACTTGGTTGGAGAGTGAACTGTCGGAACAGTTATAATAAAAAGTATCTTCGAGAGTTTTACTTTCAAATGGATTCGAAATTATTAATTTATTCCAACCAACGTAGTTCGAGACGAAAAAGGAGAGAAAGAAAAGAGCGACGAATTGCTCGATACAAATCGCGATCCGTGATTAATATAAGGCTTTTTTAATGGGCTCTTTCGTTCCTCTTCAAAAATACATATCGAATCGCAAACTTGATACACAGTTAGACACTCGTTAAAAAAACGACGACACGATACGACTTTCTTTTAAAACAGCACCCATTATTGACTCTGAAGCAACACTGTAACACCGTTGCAATTTGTTTTGTGCAGTTATATTGATATTCTATCCGTCTCGTCTTATTCCTCGTTCCAAAACGTTATTATTATGTATTAATTTACGTACGAACTATTCCATGATCGACCATTCGATTTTTTTTTCTTTGTCCCTTTAATATGTTACAAAAAATATTGGCGCGCACCAGCGCGTGCGAATATAAAATATACTCTCGCGCGTATTGTACAAGCCGTTTCTTCATCTCTTCTCTCTTTTTCTCTATGCGTGTGTACAAGTGTACTTGTTTGTTTCTTTGTTTGTTTGCGTATATGTATATGTATGCTTACGCGTAAGTTTGAGGTCTGAATCTTTACGATCACGTGATTCAGTGGAGCAAAGTTCGATAAATAATCACGAATCACGAAACAGTTTATACAATTTCTTTTTCTTTTTTTTCTCCTTAAAAAAAAAAAAAAAAAAAAAATAATCACGATTAAGAAACGCAAAGACCTCAAACTTACGTTTCTTCCACTTATCTAAATAGTTTAAACATTAACTCGACATTTACAGTAACTTATGCAATTGTTTCGCTCGATTAATAACTATATAGAATAATAATTATGTTCGTCTTGTTCCTCCATTCTCCCTTGAAAGCTTCCTTGCTTACGAAAACATTGAAGTGAGAGAGATGCTTTGGTGTATATATATATATATATATATGTAATCGATAATCTCTCCTAAATACACTCTGTAAATGCTAAATTGATAAAAAATACTATTCCTCTCGTGAACTCCTCCTGCGTATATGTAATATATATGTAATATATACATGTGCAACGATTTAAACGGCCAACAGCACGATCAACGTTGCCCTGGCTCAAAAAATCGAAAATTTGTCGTTTAAAATCGAAGAGAATCGTTCGGTTTTCAACTTCGTTCGTTTGTTGTACAATTGACTTTTGTTATTCGTTATTACAGCGGAAAAATGGCGGTCGATCCTCCATTGAACATAATAATGAAGGATCGTCTTATACAAAAATTTCCCTCCCTTTCTCCCCCCTCTCTTCTTTTCATCTCATGGACGTCTATGAATAATAATAATTTGTTCGTTCGTAATCTCGTTCTCTTCGATTTTAAACCACCGATATTTCCTCCCTTCAAGATACAGAATATTAACATTAACTTGAAAAATTACACACGTCGATACGCAGAAGTTGCCTCTTTAATTAAACGCGCTCGCTGTGCCCTTCGTAAAATTGTCATCGATGTTGATATTTTAAAATAATAATTAATTGACAGCGGACGCATTAATTTTTTTTTTTTTTTTTTTTTAAATCGTGCTAACATACAACACATATATAAGGTGTTTTCTAAATCGCAGATCGGCGAGATTTAATCCAAAGGATTCTATTACGATAGTCAATCATTGATCACGATCTGCCATTTAGAAAATACTCGATACCTCGCTCTTAAAGGCATACCGTTTAATCACATACACCTGGAATGATCCCTCTCTCTCAATTTACGCTTGGAATTATTCGATGTACAATTAATCGCATTAATATTCAGACGCTTCTAGAAATTCTTGTATTAAAAAGATGATGAAGAAATTACGAGACAAGAATTACAAACTTTGTAGAAAAAAAAAAAAATATCGTAAAATAAAATATTTAAAAAAAATTTACAGAGTAACTAGCCTATATCTTCTATATATAAGCAATAAGCAATATAATAATAAAATAACAGATTCGTAGATAAAACAAGATCCAAATATTAATGTGATTAATTGTACTCTCTTCCATGACTCGTTTTGCCGTTTTCATCGTGAACGTAACTCGTAAAAGGATGTAGAAAAAAACTAACTCGAATCGATATTCCCATCAAAGTGTTACACGATCGATTCAATTTTCGCAAACAGTCTTCGGTAAACGATGCAAGTAACGAATTGGATCGATTTCAAGTATGTTCGCAAAGAAACGAATTTTCTATAATCCAAAATGTGTATTCAAAGATGGCACTAGAATGTTTCATTCGGTAAAAAATGTGATACATAAAAAAGGAATAGAAAAATCGTACGATTAGTAACGTGTTGCAAAAAACCCAATACTTTCTCGATGTCGGTATAAACGTGTAAAAGCTAAACTGCTGAAATTTTACATAATTCTCTTTTCTTATTTTTTTTATCTCTATTTTTTCTTTTCTTTTCTTTTTTTTTTTCTTTTTTTTTTTCCCTTTAATCATCGATCGATTTATCGTTAAGCGTGTGACGCAAAGTTTGCATAATTCGGTGTGTGTACAATATGTGTATTCGTGTGTATATATATTTATCTATATATAATGTATTCTTTGTTTTTTGTATATATATATGTATATATATATATATGTAACGTTTAAGAATTCGTTGAATTTTTCTTGTCTTTTCGGAAACGAAATCCGAAAACGACTCCACTATTCGATATTTAATTCTTTGAAAAGAAACATTCTCATTGAATCTCATTCTGATCGCGTGTTGAACGTCGAATACAAAGACACATTTAGCGATCAACGTAACACATTATCTCACGTAGAATATTGTTTAATTTTCAATTATCGTGCAATTCTTTTATAAACTGTGGTACGCTTAAAAGATTCGCAGTCACACGATTCGAGCAATATGCTAAAACGAGAATTCATTTTCGAGAGATCTTCGAAATTACGATAATTTATGATGTTTGCGGTCAAAACTATCTATATATCTTCCGATGAAGCGAGATAATTTTAACGTTTGTCAAGAAATAGTACTGTCCGATTGATTAATCGTAATTTTTCACTGCAAAAAATTCGTTTGTACGATAAGAGGCTGTACATTCCGATTTTGCACGTACACGATGTAAGAAAAGAAAAGCTTATGGTTATTTCTCATAAATTATTCAACGCAAAATCTCAAAATTAAAAGTTTCACACAATACGAAACGAAAAAGATATTTATACAGGAAGGATATGATAAAACTTTCTCAAATTTAATATTTCAATGAGGAAAACGTGTAACTTATTATCAACAACTTAAAGGATTTTTATTAAATCAATAATAGTTTAATAAAACGAAACGAATAATAATCCTTTCTGCAGCGAAATCGACCAGTCTCTTTTTCTCAAGAACATTTTTTTCGGACTCTCTGCATGAAAAACGCACATTGACAGAACGAATTCTGCATACTGGCCATGTGATTAAAATAACAAAAACACGTGTGCTGGTTAAATCGCATCTCCAAAGTAAAAGACTGCACTATTCCTCCATCCCGTTACTGGTAAATATATCGACATCTTTTTCAACGATGCGTACAATCTTCGAATCGTTTCCAGCCACAAACGAAACGTTGTCAAAGCGTAAACACATTGTTATACTTCTTTCCCGCGTGATTTTAATCGTGATCGATCCAAAATGTTCTTTCATTTCCTCCCCTGATGAGTCGAACGAGGTGCGCGTTAGTTACTCTCTGTGCGATTGATTAGTACCATTCCATAGGTGTCGTCCCGTGTACAATATAGATAATTACGATGAATTTGACCAATACGATTTTTCATCCAGAAAGAAAAGGAGATAGTTGGTTCCAGCGATCGTCGAACGATGACGAAAAAGATCTTCGATCCTTGCGGCGAAGAATCGACGTTCCATTTTATCACCGATATTCAATCATTTTCCCAAGCGTGATAATGATCGTCGAATTAAAGGATCAGCTGGCTCGCGCCGTTCTGGAAGATCTTACGTTTGCTTGCGTCGAACAGGTCGATCGAGTTGGATCCACGTAGTCAGGCATCCGTCTCACCCTTCAACCTGAGACGGGCAAAGTCCTCGAAAATGATGTCGTCGTCGCCGTCAGCCTCCCTGAAATTTTAGGGTCAATTTTAAAATTGTAAGAAAATCTTCGCGATCTTTTGATATGATTTCTTTCGTGTAGATGTGCGAATTAATTCGATCTTCTTGAATTTGAAGTTTTAAAATTTCGATGATTTTTTTAACAACAGTTTTTTATTCTTCAAAATAATACCAAATCAATTTTCACATCCAACGATAATACGAGAGGATAACGTAAGAGGAAGATTGATAGCCGCATTACGCGACGATGATTTATCGAAACGTCCATCGATTGGCGGGAACGTAGCTCGAAATCGTTACTTAAACATCGATCACGTACGTGTCCAATTGAATCAGATTTGTGTCAAGCGGTATCTCGCTATCCGTCTTTTGCGTCGGGCTGGGCCGCGCCGTGGGTGGCGCTGGTTCCTCTTCTTCCGGTTTCGGATGCATCAAGATGAACGGCAGTTCCGCCACTAATTCGCTGTTAACAACGTGAATTAAATTCCTCCTTCGTTTCCTGCTTCCTCGAGTACACGTTGTATTAAATTAATTCGATATAAATTGATATCAATTGCGATTACAACGAATCGAAAGGAAATTCGGTGTAAAAAAAAAAAAAGGAACGAAGAGAAAAATCACTCTGCTCTCTGCTTCGGTTTGCCTTTATCCAAAAAGAAAAAAAAAAAAAAAAAAAAAAAAAAAAAAAAAAAAAAAAAAAAAAAAACGGATCAACTAAATAAATTACCAAGTTTCAACTTACCCTCCTAAGGCTCCGAGACAAAGCTTCACTTTAACTTTGTACTGGACGATTATCCCGAGATTCTCGCGTTGCGAGGGATCCACCACGCTGCGAAACAACGAAAATTTCGTAGACTTTTTCCATCGTTTATTTAGTTACTATCAAACATTCAAGCCAAGCATGCATAATTAGCAGAACAATACGAGTCGAACGGAGAATAAGTAAGAGAAAGTAGAGCGTTGAAGCGAACATTCTAAGGAAGAATGGCGAGAAATATCGTGTACAGGGAAGGATAGGAATATAGGAGTAACTTCTTGATAAAAAGGAAGCTTTGAAAACGGGGGGCACGGTATCAAGCACGGTTTAAAAGCAACAAGTGCAAAAGCGAGCATTCAAGACAAGAAAGAAGCAGGGGAACAGGGTTTATCGATTTTGTTTAAGCATTGGTTGCTTACACGTCTGGAGTTGGTACGATTTGATGTATGAATAGTGCGGTTGAAGTGGAAATGCAAATACATATGGTGGATCGTGTGAATTAAATTCGGTCCCAATTCTGGTGCGCAGAAAAATTGAAAAATAATTCGAAAAGTCTATTCCAAAAGAATGGCAAGAACGTTAAATATATCAATTATTCGAAAAGCTTCCACCGCACCTATTCCTATTTTCATCAATTTTGAATCAAGTGTGTCAAGGGATTTGCAGCAGTGTCGACGAAGCAAAATCGATCCTCTAATGTGTAATCTAGCGTTTTAAATTGGAAATAATTCTCGTCGAATCTATATCTCGTGATCGATCCAATCAATTAAAACATTCTCTCCTTGTTGTTGTAATGGACGAAATCTAGTGTTGCCCAGGAATAATACGCACTATAATGCACTATAATGAAGCAGCAGCTAAACGCAACGCCTAAAAATCTCAATACCGCGTTCCGTGGGTGCGTTAAAGGTACAAGTCCGCTCTACATCGCCAATCAGCCAACTCATTTCTCTTCCAGGAGAAGAGAGAAATCATCGAAAAAACACGATAAAGAGAAACGTGCACGTTGCTGTTCACGACTTCTCGCCTATATAGCTCCTTTTCAAATTATTCACGTTACGGCGAATCACGAATCGTTTGTGTAATCGTTTATCGAAAGTAACAATATAATTACACGATTTTCTTTCTCTTACACACACACATACACACACACGCACACAATTCTCGAGTATTCGTCTGCTTTATCATTTATGAATTAATAACGATTTAATGAAGAAATACTTTTTAATGGAAAAAAAAAAAAAAAAAAGATTCGTTCAAATTTAGTTAAAGCGTTTTCGGAACAGAATTCCTTTCTTCAATTTTTACGGAACGTAATTTCTCCAATATAGTTTCGAAAGTAATAGAAATCGCATTTGTTCCTTTCTTATTTTCGCGAATCGAAAAGTTTCTCTCCCGTAGAAAAACGCGAGCACTTGCATGAAAGGTAGGGGTTGGCGAGTCGATAGTAAGTTTTACTCGGGAAGCGATCAAATCAACCCGGAACACGAAAGAAAAACGCGGTTGGTCTCTGAATATAGCGCATAGGAGCGGAAGAGACCCGCGCAGGCGACGCGTTCTTCCTATTTTCGAGCGAAACGTATGTAAATGGAAGATAATTGAAACTGTTGCTGGATCGAGCAAATAAAATTCGTGAAATTCTGAAAAATTCCTTTCGCAAATAATAATGACTCGCGAATATTCACTCTTTTCTTTAAGGATAAAAAAAATTCCCAAACTTATTTCGAATAATTTCGCGGAATTACTCGGGCGTATTTGGAATATTTTTTAAAATTATTTGAAAAAAAAAGAAAAAAAAGAGAAGAGTTAAATTGAAATAGAAATACGTGATGTTTAATTATATTCCATTTAAGAACACGAGTCACGAGTTAATCGCCATCAGTGCCTCCCCAGACATTGGCGAGACCGCTAAACCGTAGTGCTCACGGAACGGTGCAAATACAAATAAGAGACACGGTTTACATTAAGAGCCACGAATGTCAGGCGAGCTTCAAAGGGAAAGGCGACAGTTTAAAACGCAGTCTAGCTGTTCAATTTGAGATTCTCGTCGCGCGTGGGATACAAAAAGAAAAAGAAAAAGAAAAAAAAAAGGGGGGGGGGAAGAGAGAAAAGGATCCAAAACCCTTTCATGCCTGTCGC